GATAGCTTGGGTTTGTAAAATTAATTAATTTTTTGTTTTGTTTCATAATAATTAATGTTCATGATTTAACTTAGAAATCATACAATAAATCTTACATATCAAACAATATTGTAATGCAAATATTGATAATTGATAGCTTGGGTTTGTAAAATTAATTAATTTTTTGTTTTGTTTCATAATAATTAATGTTGATTATTTAACATAGAAATCATAGAATAAATCTTACATATCAAACAATATTGTAATGCAAATATTGATAATTGATAGCTTGGGTTTGTAAAATTAATTAATTTTTTGTTTTGATTCATCATAATTAATGTTGATTATTTAACGTAGAAATCATAGAATAAATCTTACATATCAAACAATATTGTAATGCAAATATTGATAATTGATAGCTTAGGTTTGTAAAATGAATTAATTTTTTGTTTTGTTTCATAATAATTAATGTTGATGATTTAACATAGAAATCATACAATAAGTCTTACATATCAAACTATATTGTAAAGCAAATATTGATAATTGATAGCTTGGGTTTGTAAAATTAATGCATAAACCTAACAATTTTTTTTTCTAATTCAAGAAGATTTAAGAGATTCATCAACAGATTTCTTTACTTTTACATAGAAAATTTTTAACTGTTGAGAAACGTGCAAAGCAGAAACTGTCAAGTGCCTATGTTCCAATACCAACTAATGAAGTATTTGTCCGATCACTGCTGCAGGGACTTGGACTTCAGGGGAATACATCTGAGGTAAAGATATGATTAATAAAGTGTTTCACTACCATCTTACTGTTCAACTATTATTGAACATGTTATTGTTACTGGTGATTTATATTCTGGTAAGATAATACACAGAATTCTAAGAATATTAAAAAATTATTTAAAAAAGAAAATAGAAATACATGAATTTTCATGCATTTTATTTTTCCTCTATATGTCTAACTACAAAATTAATATTTTGATGGAACATTTCGTCAGTGTACAACTATATACTTATGGCCTTGTTTATATGCACATGATGTAAACATCTTGTACTTGTTTTCTTCATAGACCTAGAAGTGTGAATTTTAATAATAACCTTTGTCAGTAATTATGAGCAGGTAATATAAAAAGTAAGGGTGCCACTATAGCGTGCGGTCTACACAGATACTATCATCATCATCATCACCATTTTAACTTTCGTTCATTTAAAATTGGCACCATTTATTATGATTTTTCAACTATAAAAGTACAAAATACTGTTACATAACTGTTTGGGGGCAAATATAATTGGAATGAAATAAATTCTAACAATCAAAATTAGCACAATTATAATCTAAATTTAAAGTACTCTTTTGGAACACACAACTTATTAAATTATTATTATTTGTTGAACAAAAACGTGGACAGATATAAATTATTTAGCAAGAAATTATGTTTTAGTGAATTTTTGAAATGGTGATGATGATAGTATCTATGTAGACCGCACACTATAATGTAAATATCTTTGTACATCACACACTATAGTAGCACCAAAGTAAATGTGTCTAAAGTCATTGCAGATAATTTTAGTTTTAAATTTTGGATTCATCACAGCTTTGAAACATTTTTCTCAATATGCAACAGTAAACTAAAGAGTATCCTTAGGTTTAATAACAATTTGGAAATATATCACTATCTTTGTTTGTCTATCTGTAAACAATGTATGAGTACAGCTAGGTGATTAACTTGACCAATCGATTATCTGTGAGCATTGACTAAATTGACTAGTGTCACATAAAATAATCAACTAATTGAAATTAGTGTTTCTGATTATTACTGTTTTCAGTTGTTCTAACTATTCAAGTAATAGAACATGAAAATAATCAACTAATTGAAATTTGTGTTTCTGAATATTACTGTTTTCAGTTGTTCTAACTATTCAAGTAATAGAAATAGTAGCATTATGATTTCTCTTTATTATTTGTGATTAATTCAAGGTTCTTTAGTATAATCAGTTAGTATCAGGAATCACAAAAATAATCAACTAATTGAAATTAGTGTTTCTGTTTATTTATATTTTAACTTATTTCAACTAATCAAGTATCGTAAAAATAATTGATAGTTGAATGTAATTGATCAATGAGTGAGAAAATTCATCAATTAGAGAGTTCCATTAATTACACACTTCTAGTAGTCTTGTGAGAATTTGTAGGGTAAAATCCCTGAAATGGTAGTGAAGGATAGTTTGAAAATGACTTTAAAAACAAAAGTTAAAACAAGCTAACAGTAGGAATTGTAGTCTCCTGTGAGTGTAATTGATTAGCTGAATGTAATAAATTAAGCAGACAATTAGTCAGTTAGTGAATTCCACTAATTGCCCAGCTGTAAAGTACTGACTTCTACTGCTGGCATCTTTTTGGGAGTAGGACAACTACCAGTGGACAATTGCTTGTGGAATAATAACATATATATTATTATATATAATATATATTGTATATATCTGGATCTGAGAAATCCAGGTCAAAGATATGGATTACTTGGATCTTTTGAATGGCAGTAGCTTGCCGGCAGTTGTCCTGTACTCCATCTTATTCCATAAATGAATCACCATATTAGAAAAATATAATTGTCTTAACTGCAGCCTAGTCTACCTTTTCTGAATATTAAACTTTCATCCTCTCATCCTATTGTCTTCCAAATAGAACATAAAGAAATCAGAGGCCTTTATACAATTGATCCTTCATGTAAGTTTTTATCAAGAGAGAGCAAGTTGAGAGATTTTAACCTATCCCTGTAAGATAACTCTTCCATACCTGGAATCATCCTATAGTCTTCCTCTGATTACCCTGTCCAGAGAGATTTTACCTCTGATTACCCTGTTGAGAGATCTTAACCTATCCATAAGATAACTCTTCCATTCCTGGAATCATCCTATAGTCTTCCTCTGATTACCCTGTCCAGAGAGATTTTACCTCTGATTACCCTGTTGAGAGATCTTAACCTATCCCTGTAAGATAACTCTTCCATTCCTGGAATCATCCTATAGTCTTCCTCTGATTACCCTGTCCAGAGAGATTTTACCTCTGATTACCCTGTTGAGAGATCTTAACCTATCCATAAGATAACTCTTCCATTCCTGGAATCATCCTATAGTCTTCCTCTGATTACCCCGTCCAGTAAGTCTATATCCCTTCTTAGATAAGGAGATAAAATGCACACAGTATTCCAAGTGTAGGGTAACTAGTGTTTCGTATAGAAAGAGAATTACCACATTTGACTTGTTATTGGTGCGTGTATAAATACACTCTGAAATTTCATTAGCTTCACTGCTAGCAACAGAACATTGACTTGATCGCTTGAGTGACTTTGCCACTACACTAAGATTCTTTTCTTCAGTGTGCATATTAAATGTGTGATCCATATTATAATCCAAGATTAAGATTTCAGCTGTTTATGAGGTCATAATTATGGGTGATTTTAATTTCAGCCATATAGTTTGGGAAATGCTAGAGTCAATCCATGAGGGAAAAAGGTTTTGGAAACTGTTCAAGAGAGCTTTCTTTACCAATTAGTCAAGGAACTAGAAACAATGCTATTGTAGATTTTGTTAACTTCAAATAAAGAAGTTATAAAGAGGGTGGAAATTGGGGAACATCTCTGTGCAAGTGATCATTTCTCTATTAGGTTTGATGTTTTTCTGCATATGGAGTTAAGGAATAATGATATTTTGGTTAAAAATTTCAAAAAAGCAAATTTTGAATAGATGCAACAAGAATTATCTGTTATGAATTGGGCAGTTGAGTTATTGGGAGACACTGATCAGATGTGGAAAATTTTTAAAGATAACTTTTTAAATATTCAAGGTAGACATCTTTACAGAAAGAAAATGGTAGCTGCAAGTTGGCTTGCAAAGGGTATAAGAGATAAAATTAAAGAAAAGCATCATAAATTTAAAAAACTTAAATTGAATGGTATAACGGGAGCTTTAGAAGATTATAGAAAATCAAGAAAGTTAATGAAACAGGAAATTAGGACATCAGAAAGGATGTATGAGAAAATGTAAAAATTAACAGTAAGGATTTCTTTAACTACATTAAGGGTAAACAAAATGTTAGGATGTGGGTAGGACCCTTGAAGGATGATAAGGGAAGGCTTGTATCTGATGAGATGACTAGGTTATTTAAATTTAGCTTTTTCTTCAGTTTTTGCTAACGAAGATTTAAGCAGTATTCCACATCTTGAACAGTTGACAGATGGAAACAAGATCGAACAAGATGACTGCATTAATTCTGAGCTGGTTAAGAAAAAATTGGGAAGTTTAAAAAATGATAAGGCTCCTGGGCCAGATAATATTTCCCCAATGGTTTTGAAGGAGGTTAAAGATTGGATATGTGAGCCACTTGCTACTATTTTTTGTCAGTCCTTGAATAGTGGGCAGGTACCAGAGGATTGGAAGTTAGATAATGTAACTCCTCTTTTCAAGGGAGATGATAAAATTATCCCAGTAATTATAGACCCATTAGTTTTAAGTCAGTTATGGAAAAAGTATTGGAAAGTTTGTTAAAAGATACATTGCAAAGTCATTTAATAAAGTTTAGAAGTTTATTGGATAGTCAAAATG